GCCCCCTAGCTCATGTGGTTTCCGAGATCGCTTTCCCGCCAAAAAATTTGCATATTTTTTTAAAGCTTTCGAAGCTTTTCAAATTAAAACGGGGGTTGGCGCACGGTATGGGCACATATCCCCAAATTTTCAGCTTTCTAACTTTTCTGGGTCTCGAGTTGAACGTGGGTGACAAAAAGTGCGAACACACAGACACACACAGACAGCCGCTTCTCAATATACGTTTTTGCAATTTACATATGTGCAAAAATGCATGAAAACGCATAAGTGCACACTTACACACTGATAGTTTTGCCCGGCTTTAGATTCACTTAAAATTTCAAAGCTTATTTTCCAACAAGCGTTATTAGTGGGTCCTCTACAGGAACTCGTCAAGTAGATGTACCAATACGTTCAAATTATGTCAGTATTCGTTTGTTCGTCTCACTGTTTGTTTGTCTCAATAAACGTTGTGGATTACATGGTTGGCCAAGAAGGCATCAGGGATACAAATGTCTAGTCAGCGATCTAAGAAGTTAATTAGCGGCATACAGTAACCTTTGCCTAACCTCTAGCCTAGGTGGTTTCTAACGCACGAGCCAAACTTGTTCTTGATTGACTCCCTTTTGTTTGACCACTACTTGCTCATTCGAACAGAGTGCCTTGCCTGCACTGTCACACTGTCTGTACTGTCTTGTCTGATGAGAGCGCGTTATGTGTTAAATTAAAAGCTATATTTCATGGTGTCTGATTGTTTTTGTGGGAATGACGCAACGCAGGTGAACTTCCGCGACCCAATCTGCCTTTGACATGATTTCGTACAAATTCAACTTAGGTAAAGACTGCGTCTACTTATTAGGAGTTTTGGGACTTCGGAGTTCTGTGTAATCATATGGATAGACTGGACCCGACAAGAACTCAAAAAACTTCAATAACTTGTTAGGCAAATAACTGAGCGTTTTTTTCATTTGTATTTGTCCAAAGTCAGTTCAATTCTATTTCAGATCAATCCGTTGTTAGTGCTGGTGAAAACTGACAGCCATAGCATACAAACGGAAATGGGCATAACGTTAGCGGAGGAAGAACCATACGTTTACGCTCTTCTCAACGACTATATTGACACTGCGTGCTGGAAATGCCTAGCAGTTACAAAGCTGTTAGTTCTTGTTGCTAAGTGGTTTAGAGAGGTTTGTATTTCATCGCAAATGAACGGCAGTGGAGT